ACTCACCTCAGCCTCCCAAAGGCGCGGGATTGCAGGCTGAGCCACCGAGCCCGGCTAGGAGGCAGTATTTAAAGGGAGGCCCAGAGGAAGGGAAGGATGAGCCTTGTGGTGAGTGCCTCCAGGCAAAGGGAACCGCATAGGCAAAGACCCCGCAGCACATTCGCCAGTCGTGATTGACGTTGGCATCCAAGGACGATAATAAGAGGAGGGAGGAAACGCAGGGGTGGGAAAGCAGGTTCCTGCCTGCCTGACCCGTATGCCCTAGTGAGGGGCCTTTGCTCCGGGCTGCAGCCTGCCCTGCAGGCAGGAGGAGGTCAGGTCGCTGCCATCCACACCCGCTTGGCACAGCCCGGCCTCCCTCTCCTCGCGTTCTGCGCTCCCTCCCCTTCCCGGCCCTTGACCGCCCCCACCCCCACCCCCACTTCTCCCCTCGGCCCTCCCCCTCTAACTAAGCCCCCCTCCTCCTCCCCGCGGCCTCTTTCCTTCCCGCCGTGACCCTCCGCCCCGCCTCCGGCCCAGCTCCTCCCTCTCCCCGCCTCCTCACCCTCGGCCGTGCCCTGCCACTCACGCCCGGGCCCGTCCCCGCGCTCTCTGGCCCCCGAACCGGGTAAGCATCTCCTAATTTTGTTCCAGAAGATAGAAAACTCTTCGTGGGCATGCTCAACAAGCAACAGTCCGAGGACGACGTGCGCCGCCTCTTCGAGGCCTTCGGGAACATCGAGGAGTGCACCATCCTGCGCGGGCCCGACGGCAACAGCAAGGGTGCGCGGGGGCGGGGCCGACCTGAGGTGGGGGTGGGGCCCGACCGGTAGGGAACCCGGGAAGGGTGCCTGCCAGGGGTGAGGCTGCGGGGACCTCGGGGTGTCTTTAAGCCTCGCGGCCCGTCCTGGTCTTTCCGCCTCCGTATTTCCCTTCTCTTCCCACCTCTACATCTCACCCCTTCTGCGTTGATCTGGGGTGCGCCCTCCCTCCTGGTACCCACCCTGGCCCTGCCTCTCGGTCCCAGCTCAGCCTCTCCCGTCCCCCAGGGTGCGCCTTCGTGAAGTACTCTTCCCACGCCGAGGCGCAGGCGGCCATCAACGCTTTGCATGGCAGCCAGACCATGCCGGTGAGTGAGCCTCTAGGGGCGGGGCGGGGTGGGGACAGGCGGGACCAGGACCAACGCGCGCGCGCAGGGGCTCCAGCTTGCCAGCCGCGCGCCGCGCCCACAGCCTCCCCGTAAGACGGGAAAGCATCACCCTTACCCCCGTTCCTCAGACAAGAACGCTGAGGCCGCGATGTAAAGGAACTGGTCCTAGGTCCCCCAGGTAGAACATGTCTGCGTGGGGTTAAGACCTCATGCCCCTGGCGAGCGCTGATGTCGGTCTCTCACATAGTGCCCTGCGCAGAGAGGGCAGGTGGGCCTGGCTGGGGGCGCGGACCGCTGCGCGAGACTCTGTGGGGGTAGGAGGTTCTCACGTGCCGCCCTGGCCGCAGGGAGCCTCGTCCAGCCTGGTGGTCAAGTTCGCCGACACCGACAAGGAGCGCACAATGCGGCGAATGCAGCAGATGGCCGGCCAGATGGGCATGTTCAACCCCATGGCCATCCCGTTCGGGGCCTACGGCGCCTACGCTCAGGCAGTAAGTGGGGGCGCGGCCGGGCGGCGTTTCTCGAGCTCACACCCCTGGGAGCCCCAGAGAGCGGGACACCTGACTGCAAATACTGCTCCCGACCCCAGGAGTGAGGAGGGGCCGGAAATGAACCCAGGGAGTGTGACCTCAACAGAGGTTAAGAGGAGGCTGGTGCCCTCGGGGATGGCTGCCAGGAGAAGGTGGGTTGCAGGAAGCAGTTGGGAGAGAGCCCCTGGACAGGGCAGCAAGGTGGGTTACCCCGAGTGCCCCTCCCCCCTAAGCCAAATCCATGTGGAACCCAGGAAGCACTGATGGGAGGCACCGATGGGAGGGAGGTTCAGGCATTCAGCAGTCACCACCCCACCCCTGCTTCCACCTGTGGGCGGGTATCCTCAGTTCTTCTGGTCACTAGCACGGGTCCTGTGAGTTACCCTAAAGCCCTCCACACCCATGCTTCCCCTGCAGCACCCCAGACCCTGCCTCAGGCACATCTTTCTTCCACATTGGGGCCCCTCTGCCTGCATCTGTGTCCAGATTTGTAACCACAGCCCCCTCATGGGTGGCACTGAGGCAGGCCAAGGTCCAGGTTCCAGAACAGGAGGTTCACCTCACTTCTTCAGCAGTATCCAGCCTTGGCCACTGTCAACAACCTCCTCTGTCCCCACTCACTTTAGTGACAACTGTGGGGGTGCCCAGGGTTCTATTCATGGTTCTCCTGTCACTACTACCCAGTACACTCCAGTTAAGATAATTTTGGACAGAAATCTATGCTAAGTTAATTCTGCAGAGGCTCACTTGACAGGTCTCTGGGAGGGTGTCACATCCCCATGAGTGACAAGTCTTACACAGACTGACCAGCACTCATGAATCCAGTCCCCTTCAACACCACTACAACAACTTTAGAATCCCAAAGACCCTAACATGACTTTTGGATGCCATCATCTCTCAGGGAAGTGACCTCCAACAGCCACTGAGGACTAGGGCAGGCCATGGGGAGGCATCAGAGATCTCTGGGGGGGTGGTGGGGGAGACTGTCCCTGGGGCTCAGGGCCTGGGAGGTCAGTCTCCAGGAGCTGAGCCCCCCGCTGGGGAGGGATGCCCCCCTGGAAGCACGTGATATTTTTTCCACTCCCTCTGCCCCAGCTGATGCAGCAACAAGCGGCCCTCATGGCGTCAGTCGCACAGGGCGGCTACCTGAACCCCATGGCTGCCTTCGCTGCCGCCCAGATGCAGCAGATGGCGGCCCTCAACATGAACGGCCTGGCGGCCGCACCCATGACCCCAACCTCAGGTGAGCCAGGAGGTACCAACCCAGGACCTGGCCTGGTGGAAGAGCAGCTGAACCCAGGCTGAGGCCTCATTTCAGCTTCTAACGGACCATATAGTGCCTGGGCCCAGGCAGGCCTTCTCCTCTGGTAGTTTGTCTCAAAAATGTCCTAATCTCTGGGAACCCAAGGGAAGATGAGCTACGGGTCCCATGCAGTCCATGACATGACTTTAGGGCAGTGAGAATGTCTCTCAAGTTGTTTAGCCATGTCAGGAAAAAAATTGTCTTGATCTTTATTAATAATAGATATCTGGAAATAAATTGACATGAAAACACCTCCCTTTGAGGTCTGAAGAGAGAAGAGCCCTAGGATTCTGTGGCCTTGTTTGGTCTCTGGCCCAAGCATGGAAGGAGCCATTTTTAAAATTTCTCTTTAACCCAGCCTCGACTTACTGGCTTTTTCCAAGATGGCAACACATAATCTAGAGAGAACCATAAGAGTTATCAAGGGACAGGGGCTTGGACACAACCCAGCTCACAAAGCATGTTTTTTATTGGATCTTGACTATTGTCCAGTTCAGTGATTCTCAATCAGTGCAGTTTTGCCTCCCACCCCCAGGACATCTGGCAATGTAGACATTTTGTATGTTGCATCTGGGAAAGGGGAGTGTTACTGGTATCCAGAGGGTAGAGGCCAGGGATGTTGCTATACATCCTACAAGGCACAGGACAACCACTACAACAAGGAAATATCTGGCCCCAAATGACAATAATGCCAAAGTTAAGAAACCCTAGTTTAGTCCCAACGGCTTGTCCAGCACCCCAGGCTGTCACTCACCAAGCATCCTCAGCTGTCTGTTCCCAGACCATGGCAGCAACCTTTCTGATATCCAGGAGTGGTTTCTTTTCCAGCTAAAAACCACAGAAGGCTGTGCCATTTCTGGGACAACTGGAACACTACCCCACAACTCTGACCCCAACCTCAGAGACACACATGAGTCTGGGTAGTGAACCAGCCTCAGGTTTTTGTTCTCAGAAGGACCCTGCTTCCTATATGATAAGAAGGCCCCTTCTAGCCTCTGGGTCTTCAGTACAATCACCAGACTATCCACATCTTGAGTTTCACCCACCAGGCATAGGAAGGGCACAGGTATTGTCATCTGATCCCGAATTTACCCTCACCACCATGATGGCCACTGTTGCTTCAACTGGAGGAGACCAAGGTGTCTACTTAGTCCATGAGATAGAATTGGGCCTGGCCTCTACAATGACCTTTCTGCCTCAAGGCAAGGGAATGTCAGAGTTAAGACCTCTTCAACCCAAGTAGCAAAACTTGGGGAGGCAGATCAGCCTCTCAGGTAACAAACAAGGTCCAGTCCATCCTGACTTAGCTGGATTGAGCAAGGGCCACTGAAAAAGAGTGAAGGAGGACCAAGTGAGGTTGAAGCCAAGGGCACTGAGATTAGTCTATGTGCTGTAGGTCTGAGGACAAGCCATCAGTGGCTAGAGAAGCCTTCATGGGATAGGTGAGACTTGGACTCTGCCTTGAAGGATGGATACAGTTGGGATGGGTGAACCACTTTATACAGGAAGCTAAGGCAAGCACAGTTCACAAATAGGATTGCACTGGTGTGTGGGGTCCAAATCTGTCTCAAGGCCCCTGGAGCCAGTAGGATGGAGCTTTATGGGTTGGCCTTCTTTACCTTTGTTCCTTACCTTTCTTCTCACCTTCTCCCCCATTTCTCTGCATCCCTGGACCCAGGTGGCAGCACTCCTCCGGGCATCACTGCACCAGCCGTGCCTAGCATCCCATCCCCCATTGGGGTGAATGGCTTCACTGGCCTCCCCCCACAGGCCAACGGGCAACCTGCTGCAGAAGCTGTGTTCGCCAATGGCATCCACCCCTACCCAGGTAAGCACATCTAAGAGAACCTTCCTTCTCCACGCAGCAACTTCCTCATTTGTTGTTCCTTCCCTTGGTGTTCTAACAAGAAGTATGTGGCTTCCATCCTCTGTTCTTTGGTGAAATCCCAAATGTGATCAGGAAGAGTCTTGTTCAGGGAGCCTGTAGAGGAAGAGAAGAGACCAAAATTTTGCTCTTGGTGAGGTGTCAGGCAGATCAGTGAGAGAATACCATTCCAGGTGCTCCCTTAGGGAATAAAAGAGAATGGGTGCAGTTTTACAACCTGGTAGAGAGGCTACTAGTTGCAAATTAGTTGAGCGGAATTTGACCTCTAGGAAGTAAAACAACGGTCAGATTTAGTGTTAACTAGGAAAAGACTCTGGGGAAGGAAGTGGAGATATATTGATTGGTTGTCTAGCTAGTTGATGGGCAGTCTAGCTGCCCGGCCTCTTAGCGCACACAAAAGCCTGGTCAGCACCTCGGACAGCAATTCAGCACCTCGGGCAGCCCACGGCACTCAGGAGCAGCCCGTCGGCACCTCGGACAGCGCGCCGGGCCGCCTGTGGCGGCGCCTCTGATGGGGGCTCAGCACCTTGGATAGCTCTCCTAGAACCGCAGTTTCATGAAGTCTGTTACACAGGAGGATCCAGGAAGCTTGTTCCTGATTAATTTTGCTTCTCTCAAACGCAGCCATTCTCTCAGGTTGAGAGTGTCCAGTTGGACCGCATCGGCTCCTCTTTCTGGTCTGGAAGATGGACTGACATCAGGACAGTCTAGCAAGCAAGGGACAATGCAATAGAGATGTAATAAGCGCTATCTCCCTTTCTGAAGGGTAGAGAATGAGGTTACAGAGTCCCCCCAAGTATTGGCGGGAGCCCACTTTGTGCTGGATGAAGGAGGGTCCCAGAAGGAGGGCAGAACATGGACCCATCTCCTGGGAGGTCAAAGTCCAGTCAAGAACACATTAATTTATAGAATGATGAGACAAGAAGGCAAAATGAAGCTTGATCAAGATTGGGCATTCTCAGACTCGAAATGCTAAATGATTCAAATCAGGAGAGTTCGGTAGGCAGGAGAAGCTCAAAGATCCTCCCTGAGGAAGTGGTGAAGATCAAACTTCAGCAGGTGGGCAGGGTTGAAAGGATGTGGATGAACAGGGAACACCTGTGGAGGGGGGCGCTGTCTGGAGGCTCTGAGTCAGGTGGGGCCTGCCTGGCAGGGGCAGGGGTGGTAAGGAGATTGGCCCCATAGGGTAGAGGAGGCCAGCCTGAGGCAGATCAGTATAAGGGGCAGAGTCATACTCCCTATTCCAGGTGCCCATCAGAATCCACTGCTGGGTTTTATAAAATCATAGAAGCCCAGAGATTGTGATTCACTGTCTGGAGGGAGGCCCAGGCATCTGTAGTATATAAAAGCTCCACCAGCAGCAAGTACAAGGACACCGTGCTAGAGGGAAGTAGAGAAGGAGAGTTTTCTTACTTTGAACTTGGAGTTATCCTTGATCTCATTACCTATCCCAGTGCTTTCCCCCCAGTAAATCCTTCAGTCCACAAAGAAGAAGCCAGAGAAGTCAAGAGAGTGAAGTGGTGGGTCCTGGAGGATCTGGAGTGTTGTTTATGGATAAAGACTCCCAGGCTGGCAGGGGTGGCAGGGGCAGGGCTGGGCAAGCTGGAGTTGAAAGAGACCCCACTACTCTCAGGAATGTGGGCTGGGAGATGCCATCCCCAGCACATCTGGGTGGCTACATTTCCCAGTCTTCCCTGCCCACGAACCCATCTGGATCCCTGAATTCTGACAAACCTGTTTCTTCCCCACCCCCACCAGCATCTGTGAGCTGTTTCCCTCGTGGAATCTGGAAATGTTTCTTTCCCCCATTTGTAACAATCTGCCACATCTCATAAACAATTCCCTGCCAGAACAGGAGGGAGGGATGGAGGAAAGGAAAAGAGAAAAGTAGTACATTAAAAAAATTAATTTACCATCTTTAAATGCAGAGTCTGGAGCCTCTGTAATGAGCGAGATCCTTCAAAATGTTCACTCTTTGGCAGTTACTAATGAGGTCGTTAGGCAGAGAAGTAACAAGGGGTCTTCTAAAGGCTTTTCTCCACTCCCAAGTCCCAGGTGCCTTCTCTGTCCTCCCCTTGTGCTCACAGAGATCATGTTTGATGCACACAGTGTGGCCTTTGATGACATGTGACACCCTTGGAGCGGTGGCTCTCACAAACATTAGAAACCATTCATTCCTGCAAGCACACTCTTAGCCAAGCTCTTCCCACATTCCTGGCACTGTGCCAGGGGATTCCACGTAAGTTGCATAGGTCACATTTTGCATGAGGGCACCAAACTGTATGCCCAAAGGAATAGGACACCCTTTTCTAATTTGCATAAAGGCACCACGTGGGGGAGCACCCGGGAAAAGCAAGAGCACAAGCCAAATGTGGCTTTCCCTCCAGAGAGCTCAGAGGCTGGCACAGGAGAAAGAAGTAGCAGAGGGAGGAGAGCACCCTGCCACACAACTGGGAGCCCTGGCTCCGGTCTCCACATGGGAGAAATTGAGGGACAGTTGTCAGAAGGGACAGTAGACAGCTCAAAGCAGGAAGAAGCCTGCATTGAGATCCATCTCTAGCAAATCTTCCCCTCAAGGGCCCAGCTCCCCTGCTACATCCTATTTCCCAAGGGCTATTTCCCTGGGCTCCCCTGAGGCCCAAGTGCTCTTTCTCTAATGGAATTTTACCAAGAGACTCAAGGATGAGTGCTCTGGAGGAAAGTTTGGTAATTATTCCTAGTTCATAGTCCCCAAAGCCCATCAGAGCCTGGGTTCACAGACAGATACACCCAGATGGCTTTCATTCTGCCACCCAGTGTTATTCAGTTTCCCCACAAATGCACTGGGGCTGGATCCCCCCTCAGGGTAACACCACCTTCCTGGATCCCCAAGGCTAGCCTACTTTCCTGTCAGTCACCACTGGCCTTGGTCTCCAAAGACAGTGCCCACTGCTGCTCTGTGCTCCAGTCAGCTCCTACAGGGACAGCAAAGGCAGCAGAAGGGATCCAAGCCTTACTCCAGTCCAACTGGGGGACCTTTGGCATGGACTAGGAGTGGGAGACCTTCATGCCTCGTGCAGATTCCCCAACAATGAGGGAGGGAACCATCTGAGCAGGCATGGTGGCTCAGTACGACAGATTGGTGGGGCAAGACCTCTGTGCCCCTTCTTTCACCCAGCTGAGGTCTGCCATGCCATCCCTTCACTGCCCCCAACTTCTGCTGAGGATCCATGAGAAAGAGCTCATCTCCCTGACAGCCTCCAGCCCCCTCGCCTCTTCCCCACAGCCCTTCTCCAGGGAGGTTCCTCATCAAGGCCCTCAGGGTTGAGCCCCCTGGCATCTCCTCCTCAACCCTACACAGTCTTTTGCATGAACTGCTCATCTCTCCCACCCCAGGCACCCCCCATCCAGAGTGTGTAACTCCCTAAGTCATCAAGGGTCCTGGGCTGGGGAAGGGGACCCCAAGAGGGTCCGGGAGCTTAGGGTTTCTGTCTCAGATGCCCTGCCCCAGGGCAGGACCTCCATGGCCAGAAAAGGCAATGCAGCCACAGCGTTGTCCCTGTGAGCTTGGGTGGGGCCGGTTTGGTGGGCACTGCTGACCTCTGTCCCCTTGGCTCCCCTGCAGCGCAGAGCCCCACAGCCGCGGACCCCCTGCAGCAGGCCTACGCTGGAGTGCAGCAGTATGCAGGTCGTTAGTATCCACGCGTCCTCACGGCTCTTTCCCTGGCTGCGTCCATCTCCACACCTGTGACACCAGGGCCCCTCCTCATCCCAGCCCCAGGGTCCCAGCGCTGCATGGAGTGGGGAGGGGGTGTGGCAGGGGGCCATGTGATAGGAGGGAAGGCTGTGCTGACAGAGACTTCAGGCTACCTCCCTCTTTGAGGTCACCCTGCAGATGTCCCCACAAGGATGAGTGGGCAGACCCTCAGGCCAGTTGGCAGACCAGTCTGAGGCTTCACCCCTGCTGGTCAGTTTCTTGTCTTTGAAGACAGATTTCCTGTCCCCAGGGTGCTGCTAGAGCTAGTTTGCTCAGGAGCACCCAGCCATGCTGCAGCACTGGGTTTGTGGCCAGACCCAGGGATGCCCGGTTTGAGAGAAGGAGGGAAGAGAAGTCATTTCGATCCCCGCTCCCCAGGCAGCAGAGGTGGGGGAAAGATGGAAGAGATGGCCCTAGTACACAGAGGGCCCTGAGCCAGGTTGCACCGTCTGCCAGGCTAGGCTTCTCTCTTTCCTTCCCCCTGGGCTGGGCAACACATGGTAATCCTCTCTGCCCAGCCCATGTCCTGTTGTCTGACCTGGTCAGGGTCCCTCTTTGCTGTGCTTTTGCTGAGGCCAATGGGACTGACTGGCAAAGCAGGGACTGGGCATATCTGGACCCCAGAGGAGGTACTCACACCTGCTGGGCCTCATGGGAGCCAGGCTGGGCTGAGGAGGGAGCTGGGCATTCCTGTCCTGCCTCAGACTCTTTCCAGTTGAATTCAAAACCCATCAGGTTGTCCAGCTCCATCCTCTGCCCCTGAAAAATACCCCTGGCAGGCTACCTAGAGGCCAAGCCACACCTAGGGTAGCTCCTCCCTTCCCACATAGGTGCCATGTGAGTGGGGATGAGTCAGCCATGGCTCAGAGAGGTGGGAAGACATTCTTGTGGATTCCAGGCAGTGTGGGGTGACCTTGGCCAGAACATTTACTGTTTTTTGATATCAATGATAGTGTGTTATCTACATATGTGGTTTGTCCACTGCTTCACACTAAACTCACCTTCCCTCCAAACACAAATGCACACACTCACGGCATGCACATGCACACATATGCACATACAGACACTTGCATGCACACATAAACATGCACACACATGGGGACACATGCATTTACACACACAAGGCACACACATGTACACAGGCAGGCACACGCTCACATGCACACATGTGGACACACTCATACATGCATGCATGTGCACACAAGCATGTACAAACATATACAGGCACACACATGCATGAGTGTACACACACTTATACACAGGCATGCACCTGCACACACTTGCATGCACACATACATACATGCACTTGGACACACATAGACATACATGCATGTGCTCATGAGCACACACACACACCACTGTTCACTCTGCAGCTCCCCTTCCCTAGTCCGAGAGCTGAGAGCTGGCTTTGTCGTAGTGGCCAAGCAGCAGCGCCCTTCATGGCTGGCCCGCCCTTGTGCTGACACTGAACCTCTCTCTTTCTTCCTGCCTCTCACACCACGCCTGTCGCCGGCTCCCGTCTCTTCTCTTGGGTCACCAGCAGCCGCCTACCCTGCTGCCTATGGTCAGATAAGCCAGGCCTTTCCTCAGCCGCCTCCGATGATCCCCCAGCAACAGAGAGAAGGTGAGTCTGCAGGCTGGACTCCGGGCCCCTCCTTTCTCCCTGCTGTCCCCAGAGAGGCTGCTCCCCTGGGCCTTGAGCTGGACTGTGCATGGGAAAGGTGACCATGTCGGTGTGCTATGCTGAGGTAGGCGAAGGAAGACAGCAGGTGTGAGGTGCGGTGCTCTCTGACCCAAGGCTAGAGGTGCATTTCTTCTGGGCGGTGTTAGACACTGGAGCAGCGCCGGGTCCAGGGGCAGGGGCAGGGGCAGGGGCAGGACAGGAAGCCTTGAGGGCTGGCGGTCCCACATGGGGAGCCTTCCTCACCCCTCCATCACTTGCTGCTGGTCTGACAGTGCTCACATGCCAATATCTCAGTCCATAAGAAACCCCCTGGGCTGGGTTTCTTCCCTTGCAGTCCTTCCCAGTGGCCCCAGCAGAGAGGAGGCCTGGGTTTGCCATCTGAGGCTTTGTCCCTGCCGAGGGAGTTTCTAGTCTTATGGAGGAGATGGAGGGTTATCCTCGAGGTCTTCGCTGGAGGGTCTGGTCCTGTGTTCCCAGGGAGCACAGCTGGGAGGTGACACTCCAGCACTGAGGTGGCATTGGTGGTCCCCACTCTGCTAGGTGCGCGCACTGAGAAAATGTGGTGAATAGCCTGAGGTGGTCAGGAAGGTGAGGCCCTGGAGGAGGTGAGGTTCAAGAATCCCCCCTCCCCTTGGAGACAGGATTTGGCCAGTGGGGAGGATGGGGGAGAGTGAGGGGCTGTTCACACTGAGAAGAATGGGGGAGGGAGCCTATCCAACCTAGACAGGAGAAGCTGCGCCCTCTGGGTGACCAGGAGAGACAGGTGGCACTCCCAGGGCAGGACTGTATGGGCAGGATGAGAAAAGGGGTGGGGAGTGCCCGATGCAGGCCTGATGGAAGAAGGGATAATTCTAGAAAGTTATCTCTAGAGGCCCTGGTATGAGCAGGTCAGGGCAGGCATGACCAGCGGGCTCAGATGGCAGGGACCTCATCTGAGTGTCTCCCATCCCAGTGCCGGCGACCCACATGAGTGGGAAATCAGGAGGATGAAAAACAAGGCCACCCTCACAGATTCCACAGGCCTGAGGGCAGGACTCTGACAAGGTCCTGTCACTCCACCTCCATGGGAAGGGTCACCCTGGCACTGAACCTGCCCCCAAAGCCCGCATGTCCAGTGTCCCAGGAGTCTCCAGATGCTCACTTTGTGTCCCCTGCAACATCGAGTCTTGGAGCCCTGGGGTGTGGTTCGTCTTGGAAAGGGCCTTCCAGGTCTGCTGGTCCAAACCCCTTTGATCAGACAGACCCAGAACAGCCCCCAGAGCCAGAAAATCTGAGAGCCTGGGCTTCGAAGTAGACCCTTCTGGGTCTGACTCCCAGCTCTGCCACCTCCTCTCCATGTGACCCTGGATGAATCACTCAACCCCTCTCAGCCTTTGTGTCCCCACTGGTAAAGTGAGGCTGGTGAAGACCATTCTGTGAGGGGCATGAGGACCAAGATCACTGAGTCTGCCCTCTGAGTCCCGTTCAGTGAGTCTGTGCACATAGCCCTTCCTTCCCCAAACTGTCACCCCTTCCAAAGCTGAGCAGGGGCCCTATCAACCCAGCTCAGATGCATTAGGCATTTGACCCTCCTAGATCAGGGTCATCGGACCTCCCCACGGCCAGGAAAGGAGGGGTATGCAAAGGCCTGCTTGTGCCCTGTCCTGGATCCTGCTACAGTTGAGTGATAGCTGGGCCACCATCAGTGAGGTGGGGGTGGAGGTGGCCCCTTCTTCAGCCTGTGGCCCTGTGTCCTGCCCTGCCCTTGCCCTTCTCCCTGTCCAAGCCTTCATCAGTCCAGTCAGGGCCACAAGGGGCAGGATCCAGGAGTCCCAGTGTTGCTCGCTCCAGGACCAGAGCAGAGAACTGTACAGGCCCTACTGCCTTTGCCACTCACTGGCTTCAGTTAGCTCCTGGAATCACTCTGGCCTGTGGGCTTAGGGTTCTTAAACCCTGCTACAAACACGCAGATGTACACACACACACACACACACACACACACACACACACACACACACACACACACAGCTGAAGGTCAGTGCCACCCTGACCAATGCACATGACGGCCCCAGCTGCTGACCTTAAACACATTCAGGCCCCTTCCCCTCCCCCACCTCACACTGCACCTGTCCACGTGCCTGGCTCTGAACTCCTCCTTCCTTCTCCCCACCTCTGAGCAGCTTCAGTCTCTGGCCCCCATCCCCATGTAGCCAGTCCCCCACTCCAGTCTCTTCTCAGGCCAGGAGAATCTTCCACAGCTGTCCGTATTCTCCCTGGCCATGGGGCAGAGGTGGAGCCACCCCCGGGGAGTGGGAGATGGGGAGGGGTAAGACATGAACCCAGATTCTAACAGAACCGTGCTGTGTACATGGGCGAGAGCATGGCTCTGGAAGCGGGCTGTCGGGAAGGCTTCGGAGGGCCTGGGAGGTGAGGAGGTCTCAGCATGTAGAGACAGGAGGCAGGTGCCCCAGGCAGGGGAAATGGAATGGCAGGAGCAAGGCATGGCTGCTGCAGGGTGTGAGATAAGCCTGGGGTCAGGGGAGACAGGCCGGAAGGTGGCTGGGAGCCGTAGTGACCATGTCCCCCAGTGTAGTCTGAGGCATGGAGAAAGGAAGACTGTGCCCCTTCACGCTATCAGTAGCTGGCCTCTTGACATCCTGGTCACCTCCCCCTGTGAAATGCCATGGAAATGTCAGGCCACACTTGTTGCTGGGAGAACCCTCCTGCCAGCTTCATGTCTTTGAGCTGAGCCTGAAACCAACAAATGCCCGAAGCCCCCAGAGGTCATCTGCCCCTAAGACGGGACGAGGTTACCCCCAGGGAGGGCTATAGCCACCACTCTGCTGTGGTAGTTGCTTTCTGTCTCTGAAGCTCCGTTTCGCCATGTCTCAGAAGGCTGAATTGGCCCAGACTGATCTCGAAAACCCTGCTGGCTGTGCCATCTGGATGTTCTGTAATCTGTGAATGAGGAATGCAGAAAGGACTTGGGGTAGTCCAAGTGAGAAAGTGTAGACATACTCTTGAGGAGGCGGGGCCAGAGCTGCCCTAAATTCCTAGTCAGGCTCGGGCTAGAGGGTCGTCCCTGGGGCCCATCATATACCATATGGATGGGACTGAGCCTGTGGGCCTGATCTGAGAAGGTTCCCTGTCTCTACAAGGAGAACAAACATACAGCAGATTTGAACTTGGGGTCAAGTGGTCAGGTAGGCCTGGAGAGAGAGGATGGAAGGAGGAAGGAGAGAGGCACACGCTGGGCCTGAGGGGGCTGCACAGAAGGATGGGGACAGGCAGATGTCCCTGGCCCTAGGGAGTGGCCAACCCTGTCGGAGACACAAAAAAGAAAGAGCTCTGCCCACAGGGTATGGAGTCTGGACATAGGGTGCCAGAAGGCAGAGGTCAGAGGTTCATTTGGAGAGAGAGGGTATGGGGAGCTGGGGCCTTCAAGCACACACTCATGGGGCATGAACTGATGGGAAGATGGCATGGCTGGAGGGGACAGAGGAAAGGAAGGTCACCAGAGCTTAGGGGACCCAGCACCAGGAGCCCCCAGAATGGGTGAGGGGGCACACATGAACCTGGTTCTGAACACACTGTCGGCTGGCAGGTACCTGGGAGCCAGGAGTCCTGGGAGGAGGGGCGGGAGGGGTAGGGTGAGCACATGGTACAGGGTGAGGATAAGGACCCAGGAGGCCACTAGGCAGCTTGGATCATCAGGGGCATCTTTGCTCTAGGCTGTGGTCCTCCAGGGGTAGAGATGGATGGAGGGAGGGAGGAGGAGATTGGAGAGGGGAGGAGGGATGGGAGGAAGGGGTGGAGACTCCAGAGGAGGCTTTGCTGCAGAACTGGTTTGTCTGGCAGCCTCATGGGCCCAGAGAATCAGCGGGTTCTGGCTGTGAAGGCCATGGAGCGGTCCCCATTGGGGCCTTCAGCCTTCACATTCAAGCTCATGCTTAGTCTTGCACTAGCCTCTGACCAGAACCTTGGTCCCTACACAGCTCTACAAGCACGGCTACTTCCTTCCCATCCCCTCCAGAGGTTGGACGCCATCACAGAAATGACTACAATTCACTGTAAAAGATTAAATTACACATGGCATATGCTATGTGAGATGGCAGGGGATAGACCATGCATCTGGGAAAAATTCCATTTCAAAGATTTAACACTAAGCATTTGGTCATTTAAAAGGATTCCTGTACATCTTGTAACTATCTGGAAGTTTCAGAAATTCAAAGCTCTCAGCAATGTTCTGGAAACCTGAGGGGTTGAGAATTACGGTAGGTAGGTAGAGAGAGAGAATACACACCATGGAGGCAGAGAACCTGGGGTCATGTCTTGGCTCCACCCTCCTCCCAGCTGTGTGTCCTCTGGCAGGTGATGTAACCTCTCTGGGCCTCAGTTTCCTCATCTGTGGGGTGGCAGTATTAATAGTAGCTGAATTACTGGGTTGCTGTGAGGATTAAATGAATTAACATACATATAAAGTGCTGAGAACAGCCTGACACATAGTTCCTGCTGTAGTAGTAGCAGGGCTGTCACTGGTCATGAGATGAACCTTCATGCACCAGGGTTCTCTGGATAATTACAGAGCCTCCATGTGCAGCCTAGACGCCGTTCCTAGGTGAGAGAACTTCCTACCACCTAGTGCCCAGCCCGCCCGAGGAGGCAGGACAAATCTTGGTTTCCACACTCGAGACTTGGGCTGAGCCGCCACCTCGTGGATCCTCCAGCCACAGAGTCTGAGCCAGGCCAGCAGGAGGCGGGTAGTGCAATGTTTCCCCAGCAAGGGCCGTGCCTGCCCCAGGGTGGTTCCCTCCAGAGCAGGAAAGTCCTCCCTAGAACTGAGGCTGGGCAGGAGGGAGGCCCTCCCGGCTCTGTCTGTCCCTGCCTCTCCACATCACCTCATTTCCAGGGACACAGTGGATCAGGCTTTGGCATGTTCACCCCATTCTCTGTCGACTCCCCTCTGAAGCCCCGAACAGAGTTGCCAGCCCTCTGTTACTGATCCATTTTGCAGAAAAGGTGACTGAGGCACAGAGAGGTTCAGTGACTTGCCCAAGGGCAGAGCAGAGACCAGAGCTCAGGCCTGGGGCTCAGCCCTCCTCCCCCAGTCTTCCGGGGCTGCCCTTGGATCTTGAACGAGACCCCCCCCTCCTGACCTTGCCCCTACCCCTCCCTGCTGCGCTGCCTAACTCGCTCACCTCTCCTCTGTCTCTCTCTTCCCCCACCCCGCCATCCCTCCTCCCCCGCCCACCCCCTCCCCTCACCGCAGGGCCCGAGGGCTGTAACCTGTTCATCTACCATCTGCCCCAGGAGTTTGGGGACGCTGAGCTGATGCAGATGTTCCTCCCTTTCGGTAATGTCATCTCCTCGAAAGTGTTTGTGGATCGGGCGACTAACCAAAGTAAATGCTTTGGTGGGTAAAGATAACAAACCAATTAGCTTCACCCAGGACAGGGCGGTGTTGCACCCATTTTCCGGTGTCCAACTGCTTTTTACCTCCTCCTCCACATCAATCCCCAGGCATAGCCCACCTCCAGCCTCCGACTCCCACCCTCTTCTCTCTTCTGTTCTTTTTTGCTTCTTGGCTTTCCCTGCCCACCCCCACCTGGCTCCCCATCTCCCACGTTCCAGTCCAAGGTTTCCTCTTCCAGCCAAGTTCCAACTGACTGAGAAGGGGAAGGGGCCACTTTGGGCAGGGGTGGGCAGGACAGCAAGCAGAGCCCAATGACATCAATTCCCCCGGCAGGCAGCCCTTCTCCTTTCAGGGTCAGCACAGCCCGGCCTGAGCCCCAGGTAAAAGCAGAGCTTGATAGCTGGTGGGCAGTCCCCCAGCCAGGCCCCTCTCCTGCTCCCCCTTTAGCTTCTTCTTTCCATCTCTCTGTCCTGCTCTCTCCCTTGCTTCTCTGTCCACCCCACTCTTTGCTTCCCTAGTCACCCCCACCTCCCTTCCCAGGCCGCCAGAGCTGGGCATTGTTGAGGAGACAGGAAGGAAGAGGAGACTGGCCCCTGCCCTCAGGAAGCCTAAGCTCTGAGCTTAGACGAACATTACGTCTACGCAGCAGCAGTGAACTCTGCAAGGCACCACATCACAAAGTGAGAAGGAAAGTAGAGGGTGTAAATATGCAAAAAGGAAGGGAGGGAGTTCCAGGCAGAGAGACCTCAGTGACACAGGCATGGGGCTGGAGTGACAAGAGTCAGAGGATGGTGACTGAGGAGGCGGAGGCTCAGGGGAGACTAGTTGCGAGGGAGGGTCTGTGGTGGGGAGTGTCTTGACCATTCATCCACGGGTGCTTCATGGGGTAGGCATGGAAGAAGCCCTTGAGCTGAGAGCAACAGGAGAGAAACGCAGCTTCCAGGAAATGGACCTGGTGGCAGGCTGGTCAATGGGAGTGGAAAAACGGGAGCATCTGGAAGTATGGCTGTTTGACAAAACACAGGGTGCCCAGTTCCATGTGAATTTCAGATCAACAATGGGTACTTTTTTAGTATAAGTATGGCTCAAACATTGCATGCAATATTTGGGACATACTTACACACAAAAAAGAACTGGGCACACTGTATTTTTTTTTTTTTCTAAACCTGGCGAATGTACCCAGGAAGCTTCAGGTCTCCTACTGGAATTTCCCTTCATCTTTGTCCCCCCACCCACTCCTCCTTGTTCCCGCTCCCAACTCCTTGTCCTCCTCCACCAGCCCTTCTGTCAAGAGCTAGAGCAATCATGTGTCCCCAGAGAGCCACACATGGAACCAGAGCTGAGTCTGCCAGAAGCTCAGTACCTCCAGGATGACCCCTAGATTCCGGGGCTGGGAGGAAGGAGTGGAAACCTGTGTTGGCCAGGGAACACAGGTCCCAGCATGGGGGAGGAAAGGAGAGAAGGAGCAAGATTGGAGAAATCAGAAAGCACATGCTTGCAGTTTGGAGACCGAGTTTCCGGAACCACAAAGGGAGTGGTTCTGGAATCAGAGCATGGTCCTCAAAGTAGTCCAGGTCTCAGTACCATGGTCCCTTCCCCTCTGGAGCTGCCACAGGGAGCATGTGGACTTTCAGAGGTGTAGAGGTACCCCAGCAACTCATTTCTCTCTGGGTATGGGAAGAAAAAGGCAAGGTTGCACTCCACCGCTTGGCATTTCTCCTTGTGAATTACATTGATGTATGTAGAAACAACAATCCGGAAATCAGTTACATTTGCTCTTTAAGTCTCAACTGTTATATAAATGAGAAGAGCACTGTTCAGCCCAGGAAGCTCTGGGGCAGCAGGCTGGAGTCAGCTTAGTCCCTGCCATAGCTGGGCTGGGCACATGCGGTATCCCTGGTGTGGGAATGACCCGGCTTTCCAAAGGCATGTTCCTCCCAGTCTGCCCCCAAACACAACCATCTTGAAGCCATTAGTGTGCTCAAGTTCTCCAGGACCAAGGCTTTTTTCCCTGCTTGTTATAGAAATCATTCTCTGTGTACCTCCACTCTGGCTCTCTCCTCTTTTCTCCAATGAACTCCAAACGTTAAACATCTGTCGGCCTTGGAACAGGACAGTCTCTCTCCATGTTGGCCCAACCCAGCTGTTTCTTGTGGGGCCACTTGGGTTCTCTCTCCCTGGACTGTCCCAGAGGCCTCTATTGTGAGACTCAACTCCAGCACTCCTTCATATGCAAGTCATTTAACCCTCTGAGCCCATTTGTGAAATGGGACTTTAACAATCATTCCCAGGATGAGGTTCCGGGAGTTGGTCTACGGAGGTGGGGTAAGCCAGAACAGATCCTCAGGAAATGCTACAGTTCCTTTTGTTCAGAAAGGCAGTGTATGTCTGCTGTAAAAGTGGTCCTCTGGTAAAGTGAATGCCTCAAAGGCTTCACCTGCTCTGGATAAGCATGAGCATAAATGTATAAGCAGAATCTTCCAGAGACCTCCATGAGGATATATGTAGCACAAACTGTCCCTACATTGAAAAGGGGGCTGGCAGAGGGAATACTGGGGGTCATCCTACCGGTCCCACGCAGGGGTTTCTCACGGGAGCTTTCTGGGGTGGATGCTGAGACAAGAATGGGAGATGGAACACTGGGAGAAGGAAGACAGTTCTGGGAACCGCAAACATAGGGGATGGTGCCCAGAGCCCTGCCACAGGGGTCTTCAGTCATGGGTGGGAGTTGGGGATGATCCCTGCCCTCACTGCTAGCCAGGTAACAACACTTCAAGGGAAGAGAAGTCCCCCTGAGCCTGAAATTCTTCCCAACTCCCGGACTTCCAGAGGCCTCTAAACTCTTCCAGGAAGAATAGGCTTCTTCCCTCCTTCAGGACGTCCTGCTTTCCCATGCGGTGGCTATCGCTCTCTCCCTAACTACTGCCCTGGACAGTTCCTCCAGCCCTGTCCATCTTTCTTTCGTCTCCTCCCTACTTTGCTCACGTTTATTTCCTGAAAAGAGCCACCAAATTGTCCCAAGTGGGTGATCAGAGGAACGAGGGGGTGTAGCATGTCCCCCACAGTCAGGCTGCCTTGTCCTGGCAGGGACAGAGGACTCATTTAGTTCAACCGCCTTCCTTATTCTGGGAAAGAGCAGTGTAAACAGACACACAGTTCACACATTTGAATATTGCTTTAGTCTCCTAAGGACTTGACTTTAGTCATTAGTCCCACTGGTGTGTGAGCGGGGCCG